CGTCTTGACCGCTTGTTGGGCCGTCCTGGAGCCATGTTGGGCCGCCTTGTGGCCATCTTGGGCCGTATGGAGGCATACTGGGCCATGCTGGCGGCCTTGATGGCCTGCCTGGCCTGTGTTGGAAGCCATCTTGGGCATCTTTGACGCCTTTGGAAGCGCCTGGGAGGTGTCGGACCGCCCAGGAAGCCTCGGGAGGGTCGAACGGGGGCCGGCGGATAAGTCAAAGATGCGGAATGCCAAGTTCACGGGACAACCACAGGACGACCCACGGGACAACCACGGGAATTCCCAGGGGCTACCCATTGGACAACCACGGGGCAACCTCAGAAAATCCACAGGACAAACACGGGACAATGCACGGGTGGACAATCCACGCGATGGCCATTGAAATTCCTCGGCCACGGGACAGCCACGGAACCGCCCCGCGAGACACTGGAGCAGAGTCATGTTGTCCGTCTTGTCTCCAGTTTCGGGCTGCACATCATCGCCCTCGAGCAGCACTGCCACGCACGCACGACACGAATCGAAACCGAAACCGATTCCTGGTTGGGGGCACTTCGTCATCATTCCTCGGAATACGATTGCTTGTGGCCCCCCTATGTGCCCTGCCTGCGAAGGATCGAACGGCCATCAGACGTGGGACGACTACTCAACAGCCCCTGTCACCGTCCGTCACCGTGCCTTGTGCTCAAGGGCCGTCCAGGCTCGGCCGCGGACGCGGTCCCACGGGGGCGCGGGGGTCATGGCGTCGAGGGGCTCGCAGCCACTCGGGACGGGCTCCCTCTCCGCCCGGAGCCGCGGCGGGGGGATCACGGCCCGGGGTTCGCAGAGTGGGCAGCAGGCCGCGCTGTCGGCTCGCAGTCAGCAGCCCCAGCACAGGCCGCAGATTGTGGCGTTCCAGAATCTGGCGCTGTTCTCGAGCCACACAGAGTCCACGGTGCCCGTGGACGAGCCTCTATTCAGGCCCAACCCGCCAGTCGTGCAGTTCTCGGGCTTTGAAAGCCTACAGACCTTCGATGCCACGCTCACTTTCCGGAACGAGGACAGCGTGGCTCGTCGCGTCAAGGTGTTGCCGCCCGACAGCCCTTTTTTCAAAGTGTTGCCTGGTAGAGGCAGGAAGCCCAGCAGCGGCGGATCTGGAGACAAAGTGGCGCCTGGCATGGATGTCGCATACATCATTCGTTTCACCCCCGACTCAAAGGAGAACGACTACTCCTACGACCTGGAGGTGGTGACCGAACGCGAAAAATTTGTGGTCCCGATCCGCGCCGTGGCAGCATCAGCCGTGATAGAGGCCGCGGAGGAGATTGACTTTGGGATCGCGCCAGTCAAGTACGAGAGTGCCAAGACAATCCTCATCCGGAATATCGGAGAGAGGCCCACAAAGTTTGCTTGCATGACGTCGGCGCCATTTTTCACCTCTGGTGGCAGCGACAGGATAGAGGTCGGCGGATTGCATCAGCTTGAGGTAACGTTCAAGCCAGATCTTGTTGGGGCCTATGCTGGTCAGCTGGCAATATCATACGGTAACGGCCTGGAGACGGTCGTGTCTCTCGTAGGCGTGGCGGAGAACGTGGACGTAACTTTCTCCGCGCGAGAGATGCCGATGAGCGATACTTTCATAGCTCTCTCCACGCAGCGTGCAATCACCATCCACAACAATTCAGACGTGCCGGTAGGCTTCAGCTGGAGAGCGTTTGCGACGATGGATGAGGAGATCTCACAGAAGCTGAAGCTGCAGGACCAGCTGAAGGTGGAAGAGGCCGAGGAGTCCCAGAAGATGATGAGCACAACCTGGCGAACAGACTCCGAAGGATCAGAGGACGAAGGTGACTTACTGAGTACCTCCTCTGATGAAGATGCTAACGAGGGGAAATCTGGCGAAGAGGCCCGTCCAGCTGCAGCTCTTGGGCGGCGCTATCGAAACATCGCGAAGGCAATCATGGAGGACCCGATGTATTTCTACGACGACATTTTCAAGGTATCCACCTGCCTGCGGCAAGTCCCACCACCGTGCCAGTCCAGCAGTCTCATGGCAGCTTTTCGAATCGATTAGGACGATGACGATGATGACGATGACGATAAGATGATGAAGAGTGATGATAGGACGAGGAGGATTGTGGCGGACGATAAGATGAATAAGAGGATTATGGTGATGAAGAGGAGGAGGAGAATGAGGAGGACGATGAGGACTTGGATGGTGGTGATGATGAGGATGAGGAGGATGAGGAGGATGATGAGGAGGATGAGGATGAGGATGAGGAGGATGATGGTGATGACGATGATGATGCTGATGGTGATGGTGATGGTGATGATGACGAGGAGGAGGATGAGGATAATGAGGGTGAGGATGAGGATGGTGATGATGATGAAGTTTATGAAGGTGATGATGATGATGGCGACCACGACGATTATGATGATGCTGATGATGATGATGGTGGTGATGGTGGTGATGATTATGCTGCTGATGTTTGTGATGATGATGATGCTGATGATGATGATGATGATGATGATCATGATGATGCTTGATGCTGATGTTGACGATGATGCTCATGATCACGATGATGATGGCGATGGTGATGGTCATGAGGATGAGGATGATGATGACGATGAAGATGCTGATGCTTATGGTTATGATGCTGATAATGTGGATGATGATAATGGTGATGATGCTAATGATGATCATTATGAGAATGATGATGTTGATGACGATGGTGAGGGTGACGATGATGGTGATTGATTATGAGGATGCTCAAGATTATGACGATGACAATGATGCTGCCGCTGCTGCTGATGATGCTGATGCTGATAATGATGATGATGATGATGATGATGATGATGATGATGATGCTGATGATGAGGCTGACGTTGATGATGATGCCGACCACGACGATTCTGATGATGCTGATGATGATGAGGATGATGATGCTGATGATGATGATGGGGATGATGGTGATGATGACGATACTGATGCTGATGACGATGAGGAGGAGGAGGCTGATGATGATTATTTATGGTGGTGATGGTAATGGTGATGGTCATGAGGATTGTGATGATGAGGAGAATGATGATGATGCTGATGATGAGGATGCTGATGCTGATGACGGGGGTGGTTATGATGATGAAGGTAGGTGGTGATGATGTTGATCTTGATGATGGCCAACATTATGACGATGGCAATGCTGATGCTGATTATGATGAGGTCAACGTTGATGATGTTGATGACGACCACCACGATTATGATGATGCTGATGATGATGCTGCTGCTGGTGATGATGATGATGATGTTGATGATGATGATGGTGCGGGTGATGATGATGATGATGATGATGATGATGATGATGATGATGAGGATGATGCTGCTGAATACGATGATGGTGATGCTGCTGCTGATGATGATATTGACGATGATGCTGCTGAGGATGATTGATATGTTTATGATCATGCTATTAAGCTGATGATGTCGACTATGATGATGCTGAGTATGATGATCATGTTGATGATCATGATGTTGATGATGCTGATTGTGATGATGATGCTGATGACGAAGATGACGACGACGAATACGACGATGATGATGATGATGATGATGATGATGATGATTATTCTGATGCTGAGGATGAGGATGAGGGTGCGGATGAGAATGATGATGAGGATGAGGATGAGGAGGATGATGATGCGGATGTTGATGATGATGATGACGATGATGATGTCGATGATGATGCTGATTCTGATGATGATACTGATGATGATGATGCTGATGATGATGATGGTGATGCTGATGATGATAAGGTTGACGATGATGCTACTGTTGCTTCTGCTGATGATGACGATGCTGCTTCTGACGATGATGATGATGATGATGATGATGATGATGATGATGGTGATGGTGATGATGATGATGATGATGATGATGATGATGATGATGATGATGATGATGATGATGATGATGATGATGATGATGATGATGATACTGATGATGATGATGATGATGATGATGATGATGATGATGATGATGATGATGATGATGAGGAGGGATGAGGAGGAGGAGGGAGGAGGAGGAGGAGGAGGAGGAGGAGAGGAGGGAGCAGGAGGAGGAGGAGGAGGAGGAGGAGGAGGAGGAGGAGGGGGAGGGTGGGGATGGCGAGGAGGACGATGAGGAGGAGGCGTAGGAGGAGGGGGAGGAGGAGGAGCAGGAGGAGGATGGTGACGAACAGGACAGGCGGAGCAGGATGAGGACGAGGAAGGAGAGGGGAGGCCGTCAATTGCGGGGCTTGGCGGAGCCCCAGCGTGGCAGTCTTGGTGGTCCTTGGGTCCCTCTTGGGCCGTTTTGGGGCCATCCTAGGCTGTCTTGGGGCTCTCCTGGGCCGTCTGGGGCTCTCTTGGCCGTAAGGAGGGTGTCTTGGGGCCGTCGTGGGGTCATTTCGGCGCCGTCTTACGCCGTCGAGGGGCCCTCTGAGGCCGTATTGGCTTCCTCCAGGGGCCCTCGGTCTTGGAAGCCTCTTGGGCCATCTTGTGACTCATGGGGGCCTTTTGAGGCAATCTTGGAGGCTTCTTGGGCCATCTTGAGCTGACGGAAGCCCGAGAGGGCGAATGCGATAATCATCAAAACACGAATCGAAACTCAAGGATGGGGGGGACCCTCTCGTGCCCTGTTGGGGGTCCTCTTCGGGCCCAGTTGGGGTCTCTTGTGGCCCTCTGGGCCCTCTTGGAGGAATCCTGGGCCATCTTGACGCCATATTGTGCCGGCTCGGGACCATCTCTGGCCGTCTTTGAGGCAACTCGGGCCATCTTGGCGGCGTTGGTTGCGTGTCTGGGCCGTCTCAGAAGCTCGGGACGCGGATCAATCGTTTTTGTTACGAGGGATCGTTGACCAGGGAGTCTCGGGAGAGGGGAGCGCTGCATGCAGGCACCCCTTGGCACTCTCCCACGCCTCAATGTGCACAAGCCACGGTGGCGGAGAGCCTCTACAGGGACAAATCTGGGCGAAGTCGAGCCAGATGATCACCTTGACCTTTACTCCAAAGGCAGCGCTTAAGTACCGTTGCGTGGCGTACTGCTCGGTCGTCGGACAGGAGGAGCGGCTGCCATTGCTCCTCTCTGGCCAGGGCATCGGGCCAAAGGCGGCGTTCTCGTGGGAGGATCAACCGATCGACGAGATATTCGTAGAGTCCGCGCACCAGTACACGGTCGACCTCATCAACCAGGGGGATATCGCAGTGACTTTTAAGTTGGTGCCCAACAATTCGCAGTTCGGCTCCAAGTTCCATTTCTCGCCCAGCGAGGGACGCCTGGAGGTGGGTGAGAAATGCGAAATCACTATAGACTTCGTGCCAGACCTCCTCGGACACTTCCAGGAAACCTTCCGTTGGGACCTGGTCGGCAGCGCCGCTTCGTTGGCCCTGACCTTCACGGGCAAGTCTGTGCCGCCGACGTTCACCTTCGACGTGGACCGCATCGCCTTCGGGGTGGTGAGCTACGGCTACTTGAACTCCAAGACGCTGACGCTCACCAACACCTCGGAGGTGCCCATGCGGTTCGCGCTGAGAATCCCAGGTGATGGCCGCTTCGCGCAGAAGGAGTTCGATGTAATCCCGCCACGTGGCATGCTGTATCCCAATTGCTCTCAGAAGGTGCAGCTGGACTTCATCAGCGTGAACATCAAAACATACGACCTTGCCCTGGTCATGGACCTGGACGGCGTGGGCCAGGAACTCGCAAGTATCCCCATCCAGGCCCGCTGCGCTGTTCCAATGGTGAAGCTGGACCCCCCAGAGCAGCTGCAGTTCGGGGACATTTTCATCAGGTACCCGTCGAACCAGACAATCTCCCTCAGCAACACGTCCGCTCTCCCTGCGAAGTTCCAAATTCTTCCGCAAGACGAGGTTCACAGCGCGTACGCGACGATACAGCCAGACCAAGCCTTCGGGTCCGTCCCACCGGCTTCGTCTCACGTGATAACTCTGACGTTGACCGCGCACAAGATCGGGCAGTTGCAGTTCCCTATCTTCGTCCGCATGCTGGGGCACGCCTCGCCGTATCAGTTGATGGTTGTCGCGAATTCCACCGGCCCCATCGTGACTGTGGAGCCCCCGGTCTTGGATTTTGGCAGCGCGAAGTGCTTGGAGCCGGTCACGAGGCAGGTGAAGATCACGAATGCTTGCGTGATCGACGCCCAGATTAAGGCGTTGATGAAGTTGAAGAACTCGCTTTGGACGGTGTCTCCGAAGGATCTTTTGCTGAAGCCATTCGAGTCCGTCACAGCTGCCCTGACTCTGACCTGCGACGAGGCGGCGAAGGTGAGCGACACGCTGTATCTCGTTGTGAACGAGGGGAAGGACGTCTCAGTGTCTGTCAAGGCCCAGGGGGTGGCCTCGCCAGTGACGTGCAAGGAGCGGCTGGATGAAATAGACTTCGGAACCCAGTACACCACGCAGACGATCACGCGGGAGTTTCTGATCGAGAATCGCGGGACGAGGCAGCGGAAGCTCGTGTGGAGCCATGAGGCCGAGAAAATTGTCACGAAGAACGCGCCTGATCCCATACAGATCTTCAACGTCAGCCCCATGACCCTGCTTATGGACGGCAAGACGGCCTACAAGTACGAGTTCACTGCAGTGGCCCACAAGCAAGGCCTCGCCCAGGAGACCCTTGTGTGCCATGAGTACATCGGCAACGATCGCAAGGGGAAGGTGTGTTTCCGGTGCGCGTTGAAGGGCAATTTTGTGTCGCCTTTGCTAACGTTGTCGGCCACCACCCTAAACTTCAAATATTTGTGGTCCAAAGGCACCCCTCCTGCGCCGATGTCGCAGAAGCTCAGGCTCACCAACGTCTCCCTCCTAGACGTCGAGTTCACCGTCAAGGTGGCCGCTCCCTTCAAGGCGGGCTCCGAACTTGTTTCTCTGAAGCCCAACGAGACGACCGAGGTTCATGTGGAGTTCGACCCTGGCTTCAAGGTAGATCGGCAAAGCAGTACAGTGAAGCAGAAATTGATCATAGTCTATCAGGACCACCCACAAAAGGACACAGTACATTTAGTCGGAGAGGTGGCGTTCCCGAACGTGGTTCTGAGCCTAGACAAATTGGACTTCGGGGCGGTCCTAAACGACACCACTAAGCAGCTCAGCATCACCATGTCGAACCCGCACGTGCTCCCCGTGTCGTACCACTGGATGTTCGTAGAGGATCAAGAGATGGCGCCGATGTCGAGCACGGGGCAGTCGGAAATGCCCGTGTCCATGTCGAGGACATCCAAGGCGCCATTCGACTCGCGCAGCCATCTGACGACGACTGATCTCGGCGCACCGCAGGTGACCCTCGACATGGTCCGCAGGACCACCAGCAAGACGACGACGACTCTGCAGGACCGGCATGAGCTCCTCGACGAAGGCAGTACGTTATCCCGCCGCATGTCGCAAGCAAGTGCCGCTCCCCAGTGGCAGCGGCCCAGCGCGCCCCCGCGTCCAGAGGTCGACATCAACCAGATTTTCGATATCCTGCCCATCATGGGCACGCTAGAGCCAGGGGCCTCCCAGACGACCACCTTCACATATTTCGGCCTCGGCGACCGAAAGTTCAGTGCCACCGCTTTGTGCCAGGCGGAGGGTGGGCCCGAATACGAAGTGCGCCTCCGGGGCCAGGCGTCAAGGCTGGAGTTCAAGCTGGACAAGACGGATCTCGACTTCGGCGAGCTACCCTACAGCCAGGTGTCCGAGAAAGAGGTGTACCTCAGCAACACTGGCAAGGTGGCCTACTACTTCAGCTGGAACCTGACCGGTCTGTCGAGGAACTCGGTGCTCGACATAAGCCCAGCGTCTGGGCTGATCAACCCAAAGGAGGGCCAGAAGATGACCGTTCGCTTCCGTTGCGGCATCCCTGACGAGGTCTGTGAACAGGCCCTTTTGGAAGTGGCCCACTTCGAGCCCACGAGGTTCACTGTGCGTGGGCGGGGCGTCTTCCCAGGGGTGTTGCTCTCCACACCGCTCGTCGACGGCGTTGGGCAGGAGAAGCTGCCGCGCTTCGACAGCGAGGAGCACGAGGTCCGGCGCGCCGAGGCGCTCGAGAGGCTGCGGGCGCAAGCCTTGTCAGGGAACTGTGCGGCTCTGCGGCAGGGCGACAAGCCAGACTCCCAGACGCAGAAGCAGAGGAAGAAGAACGCGCAGCGCCCTGCGCTCGACGCCCCGGAGCCAACGGAGGAGGAGGTGGAGTCGGAGGCAGACAGGAGGTACCTCTGCCAGGTGCTCTTGGAGAAGGAGCGCGAGGTGGTGAGCAGGAGGACCGCCTCGAAGGACGTCGCGACCAAGAGGAGGGCCGACTCGAAAGACGCTGCTGGCGCCAGCATGGCGTCGGCCAGACCCGTGTTTGGCACGCAGACCACCAAGAGCGTCCCGAGGAGCATGGCAGAATTGCCCACGCTCACCGCAGCGTACTACACGTGTGACTTTGGCCACCTGGTGCTCGGGCAGTCGGGTCGGAGGGTGGTGTGCGCGCTGAACTGTTACAGCGAGCCCATCAGCTTCACGATCAATAAGAAGCTGCTCGCGAGCCAGGGCTTCACGATCTCGCCCGAGAAGGTCAAGAGGCTTCCACCTGGCCGGACCCAGAAGATGGAGGTGATCTGCTTCCGCTCCAAGGGCGACGACGAGGGCGTCCAGGAGCTCGACTGGGCGATCCCAATCAAGGGCGGCCCCTGCTACGAGGTGAAGCTCCGCGCGCACTTCGTGCTTCCAGAAGTGACGCTTTCCTCGGAGGAGGTGGACTTCGGCAGGGTTCTTGTGGGCCAGGTCAAGCGCATGTGTGTCAGGCTGAGGAACACCAAAACGGTACCTGTGGAGTGGGAGTACAAGATCCCGAAAAACAAGTTCGGCAAGCCTCTCCCACCTTGGGAGACACCTTACACCCTGGCGCCAGCCTCGGGCAAGATGCAGCCTGGTGGTACGCAATTTGTCACCATCGCTTTCATGCCAAGCTCCTCACAACTCTTTCACCAAAAGCTTCCGCTCAAGATCTCTGACAATCCGAACACGAAGCTTATCTCGCTGCGTGGCCACGGCGATTCACTGCATGTAGAAGTAGAGCCCTCTGAGAAGTTTCAGTTGGGACCAGTGCTTCCTGGCGATGACGAGTGCACTCGTGAGTTCTTCCTGCACAACCCCACAGACTACCCGATCGAGGTCTACTGCGTCGATTTCGACCAGAAGTTCGCCGAGGAGGAAGAAATGCTCAATCTCTACGACCAGTACAACTCTTACAACATGGTCGAGCTACCGCTGCGCGAGCCGGGCTCTGGCACCTGGTCCGCTGTGGTGATCGCCACGAAAGAAAGGGTCCTGAGGGAAACGGGTTCCAGACCTGAGGGCTTTCCCCGGGACCATCTCTTGATCCAGAGTCGTTTTTTCTCCATCTCCTGAGATCGGGTTCTAGTTATTATCTAGGCGCCTCCGGCTCACCTTCTCCTCATCTTCCTCCTTCTCCTCCTCTTCCTCCTCTTCCTCCTCCTCCTCTTCCCTTCTTTCTTCCTGAGTCAGACCCAGTCAGATTCGCACTCCACCTCACTCACATCCTCTTCCTCACCCAGACTCACTCACACTCAGACTCATTCATACTCTGACTCGCTCATGATCAGTGACTCACTCACTCACACAGACTTACTCACACTCAGACTCACTCATATTCATAACCAAGCATATTCATACTCAACCACTCTCAGACCCATTCACACTCAGGCTCGCTGACGCTCAGACTCTTATACACAGACTCCCTCATACTTAGATCCACTCACATTCAAGCTCACTCACATCCTTCTCTTGCTCACTCAGGCTTACTCACACGCAGCGTCGTTCACACTTATTCCCCATGTCCTAAGATGGGGTTCTTGATATGGCTGAGACGCCTTCGACACCTTCCTCCTTCCTATCCTTCCTATCCTTCCTCCCCTCATTCCTCCTCCTCCTCCTCTTCACTCAGACTCACTCATACTCAGACTCACGAACCATCAGACTCATTCACACTCAGACCCACGCAAACAGAGACTCACTCGCACAGGGTAACTCACATTCAGACTTGATCACACTCAGACTCATTCACAGTCAGACTCACTCACATTCAGACTCACACTCATACGCACTCACACTCACACTCGCTCGCACTCAGACTCCCTCGCACTCATGCTCACTCGCACTCAGACTCGTACGCACTCAGACTCACTCGTACTCAGACTCAGTCGCACTCCGACTCGCAGATGTTGAGAATGTCTCGAGCGAGGCGTTAGTTTCAGCAACCCAAGGGAAGCTGCCAGGGGTGTAAGATTCGCGCCCAGATTGTGGGGATATCTCAGGCGGGTGCCCGTTTGGTCGCCCAGACTCGTCTGTTTTCAGAGCAGAGTTTGAGAACGTCCCGAACGAGGCGCTGGCTGCAGCACTCCAATGGGGGAGCCGTCAGAGGTGAGGACACTCCAAGAACTTCGCCCAGAATGTGGGGATGTCTCTGGCAGTTGCCCACGCTCCTCGTCTGCTGCTATACCAGACTATGAGGATGCTTCGAGCAAGGCGCTGGTTGCAGCACCCCAGGGGGGAGCCGCTAGGGATAGGGACACTCCAAGATTCGCGTCCACATTCCGGGGATGTCTTTGTCGTTTTGCCTGTTTGGTTGCCCGGACTCTTCTGCTTTCACAACAGATTGTAAGGATGTCTCGAGCGAAGCGTTGGTGTCAGCACCCCAAGGGGGAGCTGCTACGGGTGGGGCCACTCCAAGACTCGCGTACATTTTGTGGGGATGCTTCGGCAGTTTGCTTGTTTGGTCGCCCAGAATCATTTGTTTTCAGAGAGTATTGCGGGGATGTCTCGAGCGAGCCGCTGGTTCCATACCCTCAGGGCGGGCCGTCAGGGGTGGGGACATTCGAAGATTCGCACCCAGATTGTGCTGATATCCCAGACGGTGTGCCCATTTGGTCACCAAGACTCTCCTGCATTCAGAGCAGTTTATGAGGAAGTCTCAGGCGATGCCTCGGGCGTTCTTTTGTTCCTCAGATGCCTCCGACTCGCCTCCTGTCCTTCCTCATCCTCGTCTTTACTCGGACTCATTCATATTCAGACGCTCAGACACACTGCACACCCAGGCTCATACTCAGACTCAGTCAGACTCGCACTCATACTCATACGCACTGAGACTCAATCGCACTCAGACTCACCCACACTCGGACCCACTCACACTGAATCTCGCTGATACTCCGACTCTCCCATGCTCGGGCTTCCTAGGACTCAGATTCACTCACACTCAGACTCATTCAGGCTTGCGACGCACTCACACTCATTCTTGAAGATTCTAAGGGTATCTCGAGCGAGGCGCTGGTTTCAGCACCCCAAGGGGGAGCCGCCAGGGGCGGGGACACCCGCCCGCACCCCAAGGAGGAGCCGCCAAGAGTGATAGCATTTGCCAGTTCGCGCCCAGATTGTGGGGACGTCCCAGGCGGTTTGCCTGCTTGGTGGCTTGGACTTCTCTGCTTTCAGAGCGGATCGTGAGGATGTCTCAGGCGAAGCGCTGGTTTCAGCACCTCAAGGGGGATTTGCTATGGATGGGGCGCTCCCAGATTCGCGCCCGATTGGGCCCCCAGACTTTTGTTTTCAGAACAGATCACGAGGATGTCTCAGGCGAGGCGCTGGTTTCAGCACCCCAATGGGGAAGCCCAAGCGGTCCCCCAGGAGCTCCAAGGAATCTCCAGGACGCCCCAGAAAGCTCCGGGGAGACCCAGGAAACTCAAGTAAGCACCAGGGAGTTCCCTCGAGCTCCCAGGAAGCCCTGGGAGCTCCCAGGCAGCCCCAGGGAGCACCCACGGGGCTCCCAGGAAACTCCAGGACGCAACAGGAAGCTCCTGGGAGGCCTAGGGAGCGCCAGGAAGCTCCAGGGAGCTCCCAAGAAGCTCCAGGGAGCCTCTCGGAGCTCCTCGGAAACCATGAGATCCCCCAGGAAGCTCCATGGAACCCCGGGGAACCCCAGCGATCCCGCAGGAGCTCCCAGGAAGTTCTAGGACGCCTCAGGAAGCTCCAGGCGGTTTGCCTGTTTGGTTGTCATTTACCCTTGCTTTCACAGCAGATTGTGAGGATGTCTCAGGTGAGGCGCTGGTTTTACCACCCCAATGGGGGAACCGCCAGGGATATCTCACTTGCCCGTTCACGTCCAGATTGTGGGGATGTCTGAGCGTTTCGCCTGGTCGGCGCCTTGCACTTGTAAGCTTGCGAGACAGGTTGTGAGGAGGTCTCAGGTGAGGCGCTGGCTTCAGCACCCCAAGAGGGAACTGCAAAGGGTGTTTGCATTGAGGAGGAGGAGAAGGAGAAGGAGGAGGAGGAGGAGGAGGAGGAGGAGGAGGAGGAGGAGGAGGAGGAGGAGGAGGAGGATCATGCAGTCGGCGGTGGTGTAAGTGGCATGTGGCGCGCAGCAGGACTGCTCGTCCTGGATAGGTCGAGGAGGAAAAACGAGGACGAGGGAAGGGGAGGAGGGAGGATGCTTGTGACATCGAATTATGTATTCCCCTTTCCCGCTCGGCGTGCGCGTTCTGTTGCCATATCTCTGGTGACCCTGGCTCAAGCCGGGCCTCCAAGGGCCCACTTTTCAACAAAAGCCATGGCGCCGTGCCAGGTTTGCCTCCGCCATGGGGTGCAGGGCGAGGCGCTGCCGGGCTTGGCTTTCTGCGCCGCACATGGTGGCGCCTCCGGCGACGACGACGCGACGGGCCTCACCCAGGCTGCTGCGAACCTTGCCGTGCAACCCCCTCCTGGACTACCAGGCCACGGCCCTCTTCCGGACGCATGGCTCGCGGAATTCATGGATGATGAAATGGCGCAGCATTTTGGACTGGTGCAGGCCGCCAACATGACGCTGCCGCAGGACCTGCAGAATCTCCCCATCAAGATTCCCTCCACCTGGGAGGCCCTCCGCGCCATTCTGCTGAAACTAGCCTACAACCCCGTCTCCGCCAACCCATGGAATGTCTTGGGTTTCGGCCCACTCGACGGCCCCGCGCCTACCGAGCAGGGCATCGCAAGTCGCACGCGGACGGCTACCATCCTGTGCTCCCTCGGTCAGGCTGCCGATTGGGACCCGGCTGGGAGAGCGAGCGCGGAGGCGGCCGCTGCTCACTTCGCGACCGCTGGCGCGCGGTGCGCGGAGCAGTTGGACGAGGTTTTGCGCGAGCGTCGCCGTCTCCGTCCCTCCGAGCTCCCACGATGGAAAGAGTTGGGAGCGTCTGCGCTACAGGCAGTCCGCGCCATCCCAACATGCGCAGACGCCACCTTAGCCACGCAGTGGTCCCAGCTCCTCAGCAACACTACCACGGACCATTCGGTCATACTGGAGCAGCACCGTGAATTGGCCACACTCTTGGAGAAGGGCGACACGCGGGCCCTGGAGAAGATGGGGGGGCAACAGATCTTGGCTTGGGCACCGGTGGACACCAATGCGCTCCAGAGGATCCTTGCCGGTCTACTCCGACAGCCCGATCCAGCACTTCGCCCTCAGCGACTTTCGCTTCTGGTTCCGATCCCCCATTTTCCTGGTGTCGACTCTCCGGCCAAGCTTTTCGACCTCTGGTGGCACCCGCTCCTCGGCGAGAAGCCGCTGTACATCTCGTTGGTCCGTGCCGTGGATATCATCCTGCAGCCTGTGGAGTACATCCTCCCAGGAAGGTCCGCTCCCCGGCATGTACGGCAGGGCCTCGCGAGCTTCACCATCACCACGGCAGGACACCGATCGTCACCGACCGTCTTCTCCCCCTTGGCCCCGCTGCTCCAGCTCCCCGCGGTGAACTCTTTTTGGGTCGACGTCCCGACTCAGCTCTTCCCGAACTTCATGATCAAGATGCTCAGCCCCGAGGTCACCAACCATGGTGTTTCTTTCCTCTGCCGGCATACCTCCAGAAGTTGGGGCAGCACTCCGGAGGTCCCGCGCGTGTGCGTGGGGATCATTCTACCGAGCTCTCTTTCCGAGGCGGGTTCCATGCTCGCCATGCGCTTCCTGCGGAGGACCGTGCTGACTGAGCAGATGTACCTTGGGCACAAGGAGCTGTACACGTCTCCAGACGCCCTCGTGGTGGAGTGCAACAGCCCGCTGGGACTGGTCCGTGCGTGGCCGTTGTGCTCACAAGCGATCTTCCTCTCATCCGACAGGGTGCTCGTCTTCACGTCGGCCTCCGTGGAGTCGTGGACCGCGTTGCTCGACAGGGGCCTCCAGGAGGATGAGAACCACGCGATCACGAACATTAAGCACAAGGCCAGCAGCTATGGCGGCCGTCCCTGGGCATTTCCATCCGCTACTGCTCTCGCCCTCGCTGCCTCCCGTCGCCAGCGGGGGCGCGGCGGTCGCAGCTCCACCATGTGTGACAACATCGCGGAGATCACCGTCGCCGGGGAAACCGGGGACAACGGAAGCGTGGTCATCCATCAGCTCCTTTCTCACGTCTGTGCTGCCACGGGCCTGGCGCTCTCCGCGGCCCCCCCAGGTCAGGTGCCACGGCCAGGACAGTGGGTCCATCTTGCTTCTCGGGACGCTAGCGCTCATCCTGGCCGCGCACGCGTGTACCTACACTCACAGGAAGATGTCCAGCAGGTGTATCGCTCGTTGCATGGTCAGGTGCTCCAGGTCGGCGTGGACTTCTTGGCCATCAGGGTGTCCAACGACGTCCAGGACTCTCGCACCCTGCCGGGAAACAGGCGGCGGGGGGGGCAGGGGGCTGCCTCCCCCGCCGCCGCGTGACCTCCCCAGCGCCTTCGACGAGCTATGGAATTCAGATTTTTGATTGCAAGGGTACCTCATGTTGGCTCGTGGACGTCGCCTTCGAGCTCCAACCGGCTAGTGCCGGCCCGGGCTCCCAGCGCCGCGCTCCCTACAGCATGAGTGGGCATATCACGTCGTCTTGTTCTTCGTCACCTTCTTCTCAACGTTCTCGGCGTACATCTACTCAGCTACCTGCACTTGCACTTCTTCATCTTTTTCATCATGTTTCTACCTCTATGGATCAGCTGCCCGACGACTCCATGACGGACGTTCCGGTCCAGATTCGGCTTCAGAACGCATTTCGGCGCGCGCTGCGCCCCAGTGCGCTCCCTGCAGCGCTGCCTCCACGCACTCGCGCACCCAGAGGTCAGCCTTCGCTCGCCCACAGCCCGTACCTCGGCGATGTCTCCGTCATCACATGGAACACCCAGGCCCTCTTCGCCGCGGACCCCGGCCGTCATCGCCGGAAGGCGACCTACGTGAGGAAGTTGATGGCCACCCACGATATCGGCCTCTGGACCGAGACGCACGGGTCCAATGGAGGCAATGAGGTGTGGAGAAACCCCGATGCTTGCACATCTTGGTGGTCACCAGGCCCCACGCCCGCCAGGGCAGGAGTGGGGGTGACGATCAAGAACTCCTTCCTCAAGCAGTTTGCGGCGAACCCTCACTGGCAGATCATTCTCCCGGGTCGTGCTGCAGTACTACATCTGCGAGGCCCCAGTGGCAATCTGGACGTTGTTGTCGTATACTTCCACACTGGTGCTGCCGCCTCCCCAGAAGACATCGAGGCTGCAGGGCTGTCTCGCCTGGGCCGCCCCCCATCTTTCCCCGAACTCCGAGACGCTCTCCGACGGCGGCTTTCGCGGCACATCGCTTCCAGGGACCAGGTTCTCACGATCCTCGGAGGAGACTTCAACTATGTTGCGGGCGTTTGCGACAGACGCTGCACCTCCACCGCTGCCGTCACGGGTGGGCGGGATCGCGGGGAAGAGGCAAGTTGGCACCGACATTTGGGACTTCCTCATGGCCTCCACGAGCTCCACCAACCCGACATGACGTATGCTTCGCCTTCGTCCCGATCGCGCCTGGACCGCATTTACTGTAATCAGGCCGTGGTGGAAGGCTTTGATCGGAAGCTAACTTGCGCTGCATTGGAGTGGCAGTCAGAGCTATCTCGACATAGAGCCGTCAGCTTTCGGCGTTCACTGCCGCAGCGGGAACCCGACTCATGCGCCCCGATATCGGACCTCACATTGGATCACCCCGAATGGCCGCGCAGAGTGGCGCTCGCGTGGCAGGAGATGCTGGACAGCGAACCTTCCGCCTCGCCTCCACGGCGGCTCGTGCTACTCAAGCGGGCCATGCGCGAGGCCGCCGAGAACTTCGGCTTCGAGGCTTCGGGTCCGCCGGGCCCGCTTGCGCACGAGGATCGCCTCGGGGTCACCATGAAATTCCTCCGCGCCTCAGAAAAGGGCTCGGCAGGCGGCGTCAGCCAATGCATCCAGCGGTATCCCATCTTGAAGGATCTCGTGGACAACCCTTACGACTTCCACACGAGCCCTGGCCGTCGCCTCCGGCTGGTCCGAGTTCACGCTGCCGACCTTGCTCGCGATCACGCCATCGACGAGCTGGGCAGGCTCCACGCCGACTTGAAGGACCTCTCTGATGCGCAGGCGGCGCGGCGGCGACATCAGAACCATCGTCTTCTTACACGCTTGTCTCCTGGCCGCGGCTGCTCCCACTACGCGCTCAGTGACAGCGCTGGCCACGTGAGCACATCACCAGAGCACATCGCAGGAGTTCTGCGCGACCATTGGTCTGGGGTCTTCCGCAGACGGGAAACGGACACAACCTTGCGCCGCACCTGGCTTGCAGACGAGGCCTCGCACGCCTCGCTGGCAGACCGCCAGTGCGTGCCCGGCGTCGCCGTGCCCTTCGAGATCTTCGAGCGGGCGGTCCAGCACACGAGCAACAGCTCTCCTGGACCAGATGGGATCCCGTTCCGCGCATGGCGTGCTTTAGGCGGCTTCGCGACGAGAGCTCTGTACGAGGCCTTCCTGGCCATCGCCAGCCCCAGTGGCGCGGCGCTGATGGACTCGGACTGGGACTCGTTCAATGAGAGCTCCATGGTCTTCCTCCCCAAGAAGCCATCAGGCATTACTGGAGACGGCATCGAGTTCTATGTCCCCTCGAACATGCGGCCCTTGAACATCACGAATACAGACAACAGAATTATATGCAGCGCGGTCCGCATGTACATTGAGCCCACCGTTGCCCCCGGGGTCTCCGATTGCCAGCGGGGGTTCCTGCATGGGCGCTCGATGCTTGCAAACCTCATGGACGTCGAAGAGTTCATGCTCCACCACTCGCTTAAGTACGACTCGTCCGCCATGGTCTTCTTCGATTTCGAGGCGGCCTTCCCGAGCGTCAGCCAGGAGTTCCTTCTTGATGTCATCGCGGCCCGGGGTTGGCCGCCATGGTGCGTGCATTTCATCCAAGCGCTGTATCGGAACAACAGGTGCCGCATCGCGCACGGCGGGTCCACTTTCGACGGCTTCGAGCTCACCGCGGGGGTCCGCCAGGGCTGCCCCCTCTCCCCGCTCCTCTTCGCCGTGCTTTCGGATGTTCTTTTGCGGAGGCTCCCGCGCCTCATCCCAGACGCCGTTCCTCGCGCCTACGCCGACGACCTGGCCGTCGGCCTGGTTCGCGGGACGGGGGACGCTTCCATTCTTGAGCACACCTTCGACGAGTGCGAGCGACTGTCGGGGCTGCGACTACACCACGGAAAAACGGTTTGGGTTCCATTGGCACTGGAATCAACCGACCGCGTGAGAGAGCGTCTCCAAGTGGCCGCGCCCACGTGGAGCGACTTCACCATCCGCCGGTACGCAACTTACTTGGGCTTCGTCGTCGGTCCGGAACGCGGTGAACATTCGTGGACAAAGGCTTTGGACAAGTTCATTTCCCGGGCCAAGGTGTGGCGGGGCATCGGCTGCGGAATGATGCTGACCCTCTTGGCTTACCGCACCTACATCTTCCCCGTGCTCTCCTTCCTCCTGCAGCTGGACCAGTTGCCGTCCAATTGGGACGTTGTGGAGCAGCAGGCATGCGTCCTCCTCTTCCCCGGCCCCCGCTGCTGGACTACCCCAGCGGCGCTCCGGAGCTTGCGGTCCTTGGGGTTTCACGCGGAATTGGTCGACGCAGCATCCGTGGCGATCGCGGCCAAGTGCCGGGTATATCGATGGGAGAACACAGCTCATGGAGGACTTCAGGTACGTCGTCGTTCTCGTTTTTTGGACGCACTCCGACTGGATTCTGATCATTTGGATCGTTTGGTTGCCTGGAGCGGCTGGCGCGGCCAGAATTTCTTCACGAACCTCACAAACGCGCGCGGCCATCTGGAACACAAGGCAGCAGCAGCCAGAGTGTCGGTCGAGGCATTGGTTCAGGGCGACGCGCCGGAGCCAGCGCCGAGGTCTGAATGGCAGAAGCGGTGTCGGATTATATTGGCGGACCCGCGCCCGCAGGGCGCCGTCCGCCACCTCGACCGCTGCCTTTCTCGTCTGCAACTCCCGGTGCTCCGTGGGCGCCGCTTGGAGCGCGCGACGCTCGCGCTCCGCGGCCTGGCGCCGCTGGCGCCCCCGCGGGTGTGGGCATCGGTCTACCGCGTCATGTGCAACGGCTGGACTACAGGGCGCCGCATGCAGAGGCCAGCGCCTTGCGCGTTTGCATGCGGACACGGGGAGGACAGCGTCGAGCACTACATCCACTGCTCCAGGGTCGCGGAGTTCGGGCGCAGGCAGCTGGCGCTGACTGCCCCTCCACCCGGCGAGCGCTTGTCTCACTTTCTGCTCCTCTCCCCCCGTTTTTCCGAAGACACGGCGAGCGCTATCGCTCGCCGTGCCCTGGCGGTGTATTGCGTTTACGCGGCATCCACAGCGGCGCGCCACGGGGCCACCTCCAACGCGTGGGAGGCCATGTGGCAGTACGCTAGGGAAGCTTGTGCTGCGCATCCTTGCCTCGCATCGCTCGTGGCCGCAGTGTGGCAAAGCTGAGTTAGTTCCCCCCTCCTCTCCTCCGCTCCTCGTCGTTGTCGTCCGTGGTCGCTGCCCATCACTTTTCTTCCCGCGTGTAATGTACTGACTCGCCAATGAGCGCGACACCTTGGGAGCACGCCTTCTTCTGGTCAGCGGGGCGCCCAGACTCACAGGAGTCGGCTGGCGATGACCCTCAGGGCTTTGCTCAGTGCTCTCCTTCCTTCTCCTCCTCCTCCTCCTCCGCCTCCTCCTCCCCCTCCTTCTCGTGCCTTCGAAAAACCCGGTCTTAAGTGACATTTCCGCCCTGGCCCCCGGGCAATAATTGTCTCGGGTGCTCTTTCGCTGTCCCTGCCACGTGCCTGATAGCGTCTCCGTATTCTTTGGTGGTCGGCTGCCCACGCAGCCCGGCTTCCCTCCATGTCCGGGGGCAGTGGCCATGCGAAGTTGTCGAGGCATCCAGCCACCGTGGTCGACGCGAGGAAAAGGAGAGAGAAAACAAAAAAAAAAAAAAAAAAAAAAAAAAAAAAAAAAAAAAAAAAAAAAAAAAAAATCTCTGGTGACCCGGCTCGCCGAACCGATTTCCACACTGTTTGGCGCCACGCGAGATTTGACCACGCTCGGCTTGCAGTGGGAAGCCGCCTCGATGGCCTCGACCTGCCCTGGGCGTCCCTGCTTGACGCGCGCGACCAGTAGTGGGCCGACTTGTCCAGCAGCGCAATGTGAGTGCAAATGCCGTGCGTCAGACGGCCTGGTACTTCCTCCTTGCCGGCGCGTCGCGCTGTTTGCGGGCACGGCCGAGGAGTTGCTGGTTGGCCTCGCCGCGGGCTGCGGCGTGGCCCAGGCGCGGCGCAAACGGGCCCAGGCGATCGCCGCCCCTTCGGCAGCGGCGGGCGAGCCGGCGATCGCGGCGCTGCCCGCCAGAGGGTCCGTCACACCGGCCAATTTGATGACTTGAAAGAACCACAAGTTCTCGCCCATTGCCCTGATGACGAGAATGGTCTGGTGTGGCATAACCGTGTTCTTCCTTATCGTGTTTCGGGCGGCCGATGGATTTGCCTCGCGCCCGACCCTGGCATGCAGACTCGCAGTCTCACGTGCGGCACCACCACATCGTCGCGCGGAGGTCAGCCTTTCCTCGGGTCGTCGGGGCTCGTTGTTACGCGTTTGATGACGGCGGAGTCTCTCAGGCTCGAGCGCAGGCGGCCGTCCTCGGGGGCGGTGATTTCGAAGTGGCCGAGGAGGTCCAGTGGCTGGCGCACGAGGCAGGGGGTGACCATTTTGGCAAGGAAGCTCCCGCCGATGATTTGGCGGACGACTAGCGCTTCGCGTCTATCGGGTCGCTGGGCGTCTTCGACTGTCTGGGGCAGAAGAGCTTCGTTGAGCGCGTCTCGGCTGACAAGGCTGAGAAGTGGAAGCGGAAGCGCGTGGGATCCGAGGGCGACTCGCAGATCTTCGGCGTCGACCGCAACCGCGGGAAGCGCGACCTGGCGCCCCACGATGCGGCGCAGCTCTTCACCGATGAGAACTTCGACAACTGGCCGCCTCCCCCGCCGAGGGCGGCGCTGGAACGCCTGGAGTTGGTGCGAGATGGGCCTGGCTCCACGGTGGTCTGCGAGGCGTCGAAGTAAATATGCTCCTCTCCGCCTCATACTCAACTGGAACTTAACTTGGCTTGCATGCATTGCACTGTCCGCGTGAACTGAATCTGTCTTCCGCAGCCATGCGACTGCTCGAGCCAGCCGACCTCGGCTGGCAGGCGAGAAAAGGAGCGCGCTGGGGTGCGCGGGCGGCTCGTCGTCGTCCGTCCTCGGCAGGCCTCCTCCCTTCATATTCCTGATAGAGTAGTCTTGCTCAACGGATACTTGTCTTATCTATGTCTCATCCCGCCTCCGCTCTCCCTGAGCAGAGTGAACATGAGATCTCAATTCCTCTGTTATCTTACCCCGGTTTTCAGAGGAAAGAAGACCTTTCAGTCGTGCCCCGCGATTCAGTCGCTGCGGGAGAGAGCTATGATAAGACTAATATCGTGTCTAATATCTCGAGAAGCGCTGATGGGCGCGTTGAACAACATGATGGGCACGATACAGACAGAGTCGGTCCTGTTCAAGACCGAGCCCCTCCTTCATCTGTCGCTGATCGGGTCATGGGGGGGAGAAGTACCGACGGGATAACCGAAATGTCGGTAGACGTGTCCCCCGTAGGGGCGCCGATAGGTGATCGTGAGCAACCCCCCGACCCTCGCGGGCGAGAAGGCGTCGCGCCAAGGCCCAGGCGAGGTGCATTCTCTTCAAGGCTGAGCGCCAAATCGACGGAGTCAGTAAGTTCCATCCAGAAAACTCCACAAGCTATTGCCATTGCCGCTGGCGAAGCCAGCCGGCCAGGGGAGGCCCAAGGGAATCTGAATGCGTATCCCAATATCCCCGTAGAATGGATGGGCATGCATGTTACTGCCCCAACCCCTATAGCACTAAACGGACAATTCGGTCAGGATTGTGATGATCCTATAGACAAAGATCGCGAAATATATTCCATGGAGGGAGATTTTGATAGTATCAATAATGATATTTCCCTGGGCCGAGCGTTGTCCGTGTTGATAGAAGAAGGCATCCCCGCTCAAGACGAAAGGTGGTCTCCAGATGGATCCGATGAAGACGCTAGTATCCTGACGCCTCAGGCGGACAGGGCGGATACTCAGATGAAGCATGAGAGGGAGTCCACTGGGCGAACTCCTGCGCCTAACCTCAAGAAACAACGGAACGAGGACTATGAACTAAACGTCCCGCCATTGAAGGAAGGCTTCTTCCGTAATGCCACCACCTCAGGTGAGTGGCAACCCGCTATTCCAGCTGTTGTTGGGGACGAAGAAATGGTCGGACCACGAGATTTATATGCTCAGCTAATCGCGCAAGACGAAAAGGATGAGGAGCTCTTAAATGCGCCCAAACCACCAGAAAGTATTTTTACTCGCCCCAGATCGAATGCTTCGAGCAGGGGAAGACCCAACATGCCAAGTTCAGGGGCGAGGTCTACTTCGAGGAGCAACAGTGCAGCTTCTATGACGGAGCCATGTTGGAATCCCAATCCTGGCTGCGCGCCTCAGGCGGAGAACAGATGCCCAGGAAAAGCCAACAAGCCTGAAGGCGCATGTAGGAACCCAGCGTGCAGGAGTTTCTCGGACGTTTGCAACAAGTATAACATACAATGGCTGTGCGCAGAGTGTTGCCCAATGGACGAGCACAATTGCACGCGCCTCCTCGTGCAGTCTATTCAGGGCCAGGCCAAGCTAGCAGAGGCTAACACTCAGAGAGAGTTTCTGACTAATGAGGCGCATCTGGCTGAAAGGGCTCGATTGGATAGAGAAGAATTAGCTGAAACTGTGATCGAGACTAGAAGAACGTTTGAGGCTGAGCGGATCGCCCGGGCCATCGCTGCTAGAGAGCGTGAACAGGCGCTGATTGAACATCTGCGCAATCAGACTGAGGCCGTGAAATGGCAAGTGGAGAGGGAAGTTGAAAACACATACAGAGATTATTGACTTCGGAGAGACGGGCCGTCATGATGGCAAAGAAAGAATCTGCTGACGCCCACGCGTTCGCCGCTGCCGTCGCAGTGGCCAAGATAGAAGGAAAACAAATCGCGACAGCCGTGGCGGAACGAGAAAAGCAGGGATTACAAGAAGAGCTCAAGGCCGCCAGGCTGGAAGCAGACAACCCCCAAGCTGTAGCTGCGAAGATAACCAACCATAACAATCTCTATCTGGAAGGGCTAAAATCGCATGAGAAAGCCAGATCGCCCCTCCAGAGCATAATGTCGAGCAATGATATATGCCCGCCGGCTAAGCCGATCGGGTCGAACATACATCAGCTATCGACGGCTCAGTCGTCGAGCATTGTATCTGCCCCTACGCAATTCGATCAGACGATTGTGGCAAATGCGGGAGCATCGGCCATGCTGGTGGGAGGTGCAACGCGCCCTCCTCCCGATGGGAAAGGAAACGCGCTCCCCATGGATCAGTTTTGTGCCGTTTGTTTTCGTCTAAAGACAGACAACTGCGTCGGATGTGGCAGCTCGGCGCGTGATGAACATATCGATGCGAGTACGAGGAGATGCTCTAGATGCGACCTATGGAAGAGCGAAAGGTCAGCGGCTAACATGCGAGAAGAAGAGATTGCTTCGAACGCGGCTAATATAGAGAAAGAAAAGATGAGGCTTAAGGCTATCATCACCGACCCGACTCCGTATACTGAAACTAAACGTGAAGCCGGACTCACATCGAAGTCGTTCGGATTTCCGTTGCTTTCGCAAGAAGCCCCCGCGGGGCCGCTGTTGCGTCAACATTATGCTGTTCCAGGCCCTGCCCTAGAAGGTCCGGCTAAGCCGAGCACCGCTGAGAATGGACTCCCTGCAGGGATGAGGCTAACTGGACTTAGCGGAGATAACGCTCTTGCCAGTCTCCGCCCAACATACGGAGACGGTCCTAAGGGATTGACGGCGACTAAGTCGTCGGGCAATGCAGGACAGGGCGGAGAAGGGGGCGACGAGAGCGACGCTCCCAACACTGAGATCGCTTCTTCGCACGAAGATGATCGTGGTAGAGGACCGCGTGGGTCGCCTCCGGGAAGTCCAGGGGGATCGGGCCCCTCTGATGGTGGGGGTGGACGCAGGGGGCCTCAGGGCCCTGGCGGACCGCACGACTCAATAGTAATTGACGAGAGCACGCCGTTAGATCAGTGGAGACAGGTTGGTAACAACCAGAAAATTGATTTGTTGGACATCCCTGATGTTGCGAACATTCGTGAGTGGAAAATGCACGCAATACGCGCCATTCGCTGGGTCATCGCCCGAGAGCCAGGCAGCGCAGCACTGGATTGCCGAGGCTATGGGTCCAGCCGTGGAGGATGAGCAACTCAAAGATGCTGGACGATTCCAGCGTCTCGACCTCATGATCGCAACGAATCTTATCGAGCAAATCAACAGGATGAGAAAGAGTCGATATCAGCCTCCTCATCATACTCATTTCCATCAACAGGTTACTCGCATGGAATTTAGCGCCCAGGCCGAGGGAAGGCTCATGACTGGACGCGAGATGGTGCTGGCAATTTGTCGCTGGTGTTCGGTAAGATCGGAGTTGGGGCAGCATCGCATTTCACGTGATCTCTTCGAGGTGAAGATAGACCCGCGCCAGCCTGATGCTGACCTGTTATCATTTCTACAATGAATGGAGAGACGTATATCAACAGCTTTATGGCGCCAAGCCTCCGTCCGATGAGATGAGGGCCTCGATTCATGCACACTTTCTCGAACAATGCAGAAAGCAGAGCAAACTGGACTTTGCATGTAAGTTATATAACTTGTCAAAAGACAGAATGGGACAAGGTGTAAAGACTTACGAGTGGCTGGTGGAGCAGATTGAAGAAATGATGTTGCGAGAAAAAGAAGAGTGGAACATCAGTGTACATGAGGGAACCTTAAACAGGGCCGATCCCAGACCCCGACTGGGAACCGTGGGAAAGGAGGACAGCAGACAAATAGAAGTCAGTCACGTGGGAAGGACAGTAATGTTCCGTGTTACGCATATTCCCGAGACCCCAAGAATTGTCGAGGATCCGAAGACGGATGCCACAAGGCCCATAGAAGGCTAACCGATGCTGAGAAGTTGAAGCGCGACAAGTGGGAACGAGCGAAACTTGACGCTGGACAATCTTTGGGATATGAGCGTACATCCAAACAGGCCAATGTTGTTGCTGCCAATATCTCTTCGACGGGAAGCAATGGTGGCTCCAGAGCCACTAGTGCTGATTCCGATAAACGTAAAAACATGGGGAGAAAAACAAAGGCGGTGGCAAAGGCAAAGACATGGTCTGTCGCTCTTACAGAGAAACGGGAAAGTGCTCACGCGGGAAGGAATGCTGGTTCGCCAAGACCACCCCAGGTCATCCAGTCACGTGACAATGGCTCCACACTGGCGGCGCAGACGTCAGTGCTGGAAGAATGACAGACATAATGTTGTTAATGGTCTTCTTTCTTGCCGTCCTCGTTCGGCAGGCGTGGCGAAGCCTGCGTCGGTTGAGCAGAAAACGGGGGGGCTGGAAGAGACCCGCTGATTCAATCAGCTTGGGTGCCGTCGCGTGCCCCGCCCCATTATTCCGGGGCATCCCAGGGCAGAAACAAAACAGCCTTAAGTTTTTGGCTATTGCATCTAGTTCCAATGGAGGAGACTATTGGGATACCTCCAAAGGTGAGTTTCAGCAGGACAGCAGGAAACAGGTCTAGAGTCTCGTCATGTCCTTGCGAATTTCCTGTACCCTCTTTCTCGGGGCGCGATCAGAAAGTGCTGGTGCGTTCCCCCATAGTAAGAGTTGCATGCGACATCGGGATAGTAACCGATGCAATCTCCGCGTCCGTTTTCACCCCTCTACTGAGGAGCCGACCATCACTTGGAGGAAGGCGCGTCGCCACGACTTGAAAGAGTTGCCTTCAAGTTGCAAAGATAGATGGAAGTTCCCGGGAGAAATGCGTCGACAGATGTCGATGCAGTCAAGGGCGTCTGTCGCTGAAGCTTTAATCAGAGCATCAGACCTGCAAGATCATGTCTGGCATCTGGTTGAAGGACGAA